ATATTTGAAAGTTTTTTTGTGCATTCTTCTACTACATCTCTTAGTTCTGAGTGATTCTTTTTCTCAAATCAATATCCCCAATACTACTTAAAATATGTGATTGTGTTTTTGTGTCAAGGGATAAAAAATATTTTTATTTGAAATAAATCTAGCTGAATTTAGTTTCATGTTTCTATTTCTGTTGTAATAGGAACTTAGGTTTTCTTTTTAGAGTATGTTGTAATCAACCATTATGGAGGCAATGTCATGGTTTTTTTATTCTAAATATGAAACATCTGTGTCAGAATCTGTATTTTATTTAAAAATAGAGAACAAACTGAACTGCTGAATGAGACTGAACAGCCTTCTAGGGTTACAGCATTGGTGTATCAGGGCAAAGAGAGCGCCATGGACTTGTGCAAGGCTTTTGTCACTGTCCCACATGACCCTGACAGGCCTGAGAGATGAGCCTGTGTTCAAGTTCAGCAAGGCCAGGTGCAGAGTCCTCCATGTGGACTCTGCCAAGCATGGATGTGCTTGGCAATTCCAAGCACAAATAAAGGCTGGGCAGAGGATGGATTGAGACCAACCCTGAGGAGAAGGACTTTGGGGGTGCTGGAGAGTGAAAAGCTCAGTGTGACCCAGCAATGTGCCCTCGCAGGACAGAGATCAGCAGCATCCTTGGCTGCATCCTTGGCTGCATCCTGGGCTGCATCCATCCCCTGGGGCAGCAGGGCAGGGAGGGGCTTTGCCTCTCTCCCCTGCTCTGGTGAGACCCCCTCCTGCAGAGTTGGATCCAGCTCTGGGGCCTGCAGGGTAAGAGGGGTGTGGGCCCTGTTGGAGGGAGTCCAGAGGAGGTCACAAAGGTGCTCAGGGGGCTGGAGCACCTCTCCTGCACAGACAGGCTGTTCAGGTGGGGTTGTTCAGCCTGGGATAGTGAAAACTGTGAAAACTTCAGAGCAACTTGTAAAGGGGTTACAGGAGAGCTGGAGAGGGACTTTTTACAAGGGCTCGTAGTGACTGGATAAGGGACAATGGCCTCACGCTGAAGGAGCAGGCTTACATCAGATATAAGAAAGAAATTCTTCACTGTGAGGGTGTGGCACTGGCTCCTGGGAGAACCTGTGGGTTCTCCTTCCAGTCTGGATGGCTTTGAGCAAGAAGGTCTAGTGGAAGGAGATGGGGCTTGGACTGAGCTGATCTTTAAGATCCCTTCCAACCCAAACTGTTTATGATTCTGTGCCATAGATTGTGGTACTCAAAGCCATGTTTTGCTGCTGCTTCAAAGATTTTCATGCCTGTAGTGAATCAGTTCATCATCAGCCTGAGAACTGTGTTTGGAGATGGACTATATATCTAGTAAACAGCCTAGAAGAGGAGAGAGAAAGATGTTTCAGCCTATTCAAATTATATTTACTTTGCATATTTGCTGGATGGTTTTTTTTCAGCATTTCCCTCTGAAATACCTTGTTTTGCAGTGGTGAGTGGGATTCAGCACAGAGGGCTGCAAAAGTGTTGAAATGACTCATTTGTCCTCTGTCAGCCTCAACCTGTCCTACCTCCCCAGTCCTACACTTTACCTGTCCTACACCCAGTCCCTGCAGGGTTTTGGTTTAGCCTTCCTTTTGGTTACTTTAGCCTTTCTTTTGGTTGCAGGATTTGCAGCCTCTGTGGTGCTGTATCACTCATGTGGTGCATGCTTTGTAAGATCAGTCTTTTAGGGGTCTTTTCAACAGAAGTTAGATGGAGACAATCACAAAGCAGGAACTTTAGGCTTTGTCCTTTGGTTGCAAGCATTGGAACCTCTAACATTGGTGTGCAAGGATTTTGTGCAAAAATGTTCTCATTTTTCTCTTTTTAGCTGTGTTTTAGTAAGGTATTACTCAGTCACAAATTGCATTCCGAAATATGTATTACTTGAGGATTGTTTTTGGCAACAATGCAATTAAATGGTTTGTGAAAAAGCTGCTATAAATAATGAGAAAACTTGCAATTCTGTTATTCTTTGTGCAGCCATTTTCTGATTCATTAGAGTTAGGCTGTAAAATCTATAATAACATTATAGGTAGTGTTATATAAAAACCACCATATTCAAGAGCTGGTGTTTTTTCAAACCACATTAATAAAAGAACCTATTTAGGAGATTAAATCCTTAAATCTCCATCTGTGTCTGCATTGTTGTCATGTGCCAGTTAGCGGATAGTTATAGGGAAACTACATGTTGTCAAAAGCTCCTCGTTGTATGGCTCTCTGTGGTGTTTCCTCTTGAAGGGCTCTATCTTCTTGTCACACTCAGAAATCACAGCTTCTGCCTTGCCACTGATACACAGCCCAGAGATCTCTTTAGCTGCCTTTTGCTCGTGGCCATTTCAAAGCAGCACGAGGCTAAAAATGTTTTATTTTTGAAGGCCTGCAGCTTACACTGTTTTAAAACTTTGTAGGCTACAGCCTAAGAGTTGCATTGGTTAGCATCAAAAAAGTTAATTGGAAATGCCCTCGATAGAGACTGTGCTATGAATTAACTTCATTATAGTTATTTTGCTAATATTTCATTTAACTTAATTTCAATTTTTCTTCATATTTCATCAATATTTCTAATATTTCAATTTTCTAATACTGTGTTCAGTAACTTCATAAATGTCTTACAAGAATGTTGTCACTCAATAACATCATCATGACTTTAATAATTTGCAATATAATAATTTGATACAACTTGTAATTTTTATTCAAATATTAAAACTGAATATCTTAATTTGATAGTCCTTTTTGTGCCATTCCCCAAGTTTTCAGCTAGCTGGAAACTCTTCTTTCTCACTGTGGGTGCCATTAAGCTTTGTATGCTCAGTACTTGATTCATCTCTTTGGCATTCTCCTTTCACAGATTTGCAGAAGTATTTAAAATGAAGCTTTATTTTTAGAAACTGAACAATATTCATGTCTGAAGAGAAGAACCTTGTGAATAATAAGAACTTGGTACATTTTTTAGAAGCTTTGGCATTCATCAAGTTGTCCAGCTTCTGTCATTTTAAGTCAGTACTTTGGAATAGGGTTTTACAATTCTCTCAGGGAAACTAAAGTTTTCTCACCAGCACTTGGTTCTGTGAGCTTCTAGTTCCTGTCTTAAACTGGACTGTCAGATGTCATTTAAATAAGGGTAACACTGTGATGCTGTAGGGTAAGTTTGTGTTTCCTAGACTGTGCTATTACAATAATCCTTACTTAAGGGAAAATCATAGCTTGGATCTGAGTTCACCTGCAGGACGCAGAAATTCTGTGTTTTTGTGGAAAAGCTGTGGATCCCTGCAATGTCTAAGGCCACACAGGCTGTGGTAATTAGCATTTCACAAGGGAGGAAGGAAAATGAGGGAAGCAGGCAAGCTTGAAAGTGGTTGGGAAGCAGGGGCAATGGGGTGGAGAAAGGGGATGCATGCCAGGAGTTCCTGTTTGCACCATTTTTCCCCCTGAGTGCTGAAGCCATGGTAGGGGCTGCCCTGAGGAGACAGAATGGCTGCTCTGCCGCTCTGATGAGAGTAAAAATCTCAAAAATGAGCAATCTCAGGTAGGCTGGGCAGCATGATGGGTGGCAGGTGTGGGGACGTTCCTTGCTGGGAGCTGTGATGTGCTGAGGACGGCTGTGAGAATTCCCCATGGGATTGCTTAGAGCCTGTGTTGGGTAATTCCCCTTTTATTTTCTGGAAGAGAGGACCAGGGAGAGAAGGTGTCTTTTATAGGTAGAAATGAACTGGCAAGGAGTTAAAAAAACAACGTTTAAGAAGTTAAAGACACAATTGCTGCTGTGGGCGATGCTGTGATGCTGAAGTGGCGCATGTGAGCCAAGAAGGCACAAGAAAATTGCCCCTCTCTGTTAAGACTTATTCATTTCACACTCATTATAACCCAGAAATACAAAATTAAATAATGTGAACGTGAAAAAATTTTACCATGCTTTTGAAAGCTTGTAAAACATAGCAGGAGGTTTTTTTTTTGTTTTGTTTTGTTTTTGTTTTTTTTTAACAATCCTATCATAGCATTTAATTATAGCAAAATAAAATTAAAGGATTTACCATAGCAAAAATTAGCATATTTAATTAATAATTCATTGCTTATTATTATTAATAATTGTTTATGAAATAAAATTATTAGTAATTAAAGGCACGTGCAATTGTGGTAGAGAAACATTTCTGCTTGCCAAATCTAGATAGATAAAATGCTGTTTTCTCTGAGGGAGTGTCGGGGTTGTAAGAAACAATTGCACTAGTTTTGTCAATGTGTTTTTAGCTGTTTATGTGCTGTTTGGTCTCAAACTGTACCAGGAATGTGGGCAGTGCATTGCTAGGATTGAAAATATGTAAATGGTGCCTGGCAGGAGTTAAACATGTAGCACAGAGGGTGGAGGCTTAAGTGCACTGGTACTTAGAGAAGCATTCATTTAACATTTGTTATAAGCTGCTGTTGTTTTTTTATAACTAAGAGGGGAGCAGTTTACAGTTGATCTACTGCATAGAGAAAAAGAGCTTGTAGCTTCAGATGGAATAGATGCAGCCTCAGGCAGTTTTGCTAATGCTTTCTATTACAAATAAGTTTAATAGTGTGCATTAAAAAGGATGTGTATTTAAACCTTTATGGTCCATACCATGTTAGGTGGAATTACAGTAAATTGCTACATTTCATTTCTGTAATTATCTTATAAACTGCTAGTTGATATTGTCCTGAAGTTTATGTTCAGGACATTTTAACACCAGTTGTATTTTGGACAGCTTGCATAACATCATTGGATTGTCTCTTAGGGGTACAAAATTGCATATATATATTAAAAAAAAAGAAAAAATCTATTAAAAAAGCATGAGAATTGCACACCTTTGGATGACTCTGTGTGCTGTGGAGAGGGGAGAGATCATGATCACCTCCCATGCACATTATGAGCATGCACAGAGCAATATTCCTGTTGCTAATAGTTCTGGAAATGTATGTTTGAGAAATGTGGTCTTTTCCTTTTATTTCACTTTTTTCCATTCCTGTAGGAACTTGGAAGTAACAGCCCTCCGCAGAGGAACTGGAAGGGAATTGCAATTGCGCTGCTGGTGATTCTGGTTGTTTGTTCACTCATCACCATGTCTGTCATTCTTTTAACCCCAGGTAACCTTCTTCTTTATTTTATCTTCTTAAAGGTCTGTGATTCATAATGCAATCATAAAGCAATGGATGTTAAAGTGTCTCTTGACTTTGAGCATTCTTAACTTGTGGCTGTTGTAAATTTGGTGCTGTAGGGACTCGGGAGCTGCTGGAGGCCTTGGGGAGCAGAAATATTTGGAGTTAGCAATATTTGGAGTTGGCAATCCTTAGGGTTGTGTCTGCCTTGAGCCTCAGCAAGTGTGAGCAAGAGTGTTTTGTTGGTTTTTTGTGTAATTTCAGATTCAGAGATGAGCTAAGAGAAAATTGTATTCCATGGAATGCAACTTCTCACTGAATCGTGAACATGGATCTTCCATCTGTACATGCACAAGTTCTTTCTTTCAGAAACAACAACGGAAAAGTAATGGCTCAGTCACAGAGAAAAAAAGGGAGAGGGCAAGAAGAAGTAGACAAAAAAGAGAAGAAGTAGACAAAAAGAGAAAACACTCCACAAGTTTAAAAAAACCCCAAACTTTGAATCCTTTTGCCAGTTTTAAAGTTGGAGTGTAAAGTACCTGATTTGCATGGCATGCCTGGATAGTAAATATTGGTCGGCAAATATTCTGCCATGGAAGTGCTCAGTTTGTGTAAACCAGAAAGTTAATGAAGCTCTTTTCAGTAAATAATGGTTCCAGGCTGTTTGGCCACGAGATGCAATCACTGAGGGAAGCTGTGCATGAGCAAGTACAGCAGCACAGGGCTGCTGCTTTAAAGGAAGGTGCTGAGGATAAATAGAAAAGAATCCAAAAGCTTTGCTTGTCAGAGGGGATGAGGCAGCTGGAAAGAGAAGGCAGGAACACTATGGGATAGTCTGCTTCCTCTGTTTTGTATAAATATCTACTCCTTATGCAGGGTGCTGTCCAAAATAACTGTTTGCTTATTTCCACTTAGATCAAGTTGAGAGAAATAAAAGCAAAGTTGTGCTGCTGTAGTCTCAGTGAATAGGAGCCTTCTTCAGGGAATAAGAAAAAAGAGATTTTGAGAGCACATGGTAGTGTATCCTAGTACACTCTAAGGTAGAAAACTGTTTTTTGTTTCAAGGAGGATGTTTCCCTTTTTTTGAAGACTTATGAAATATCAAGTGTTTGCTGGAACCTACAATAATAACTTTCAGTTGTGGCTCTTATATCTACATAGAATTATTAATGATGTAAAACGTAAGCTGAAATCCTTGAAGGCACTCATGGAAACAGAATAAACAACCTAGGGGAATGTTAACTTAAAAAAAATATATTAAAAAAGCTCAGTGAATTACAACATCTCTGAGGCTGTTTCAAAATCCAGTGATCTTGGTTGAAAACTTGTGTAAGCTGGGACCTACATTTCAGTTGAAGTCATGCAAGTGGAAACTGGTTCTGTCAGCTCAGATGCTCTGAGATATCCCATAGAGACTGTGAAGCTTGATAGGAATGAAAACTTTTCTCCCAGAACAATCTAGCTCTGCAAAACTGGGCTTGGAAATGCTCACCATGGAAAGCTTTGAGGTGTATGGTAGGATAGATAATTTTCCTGTTTTGACCGTAATTATTGCTGTTCCTCCTTCACTTTTGTTATTAATTTGTTTGATTATTATGAATTATTAGTGGTTTAGGAAGCAGATATTTTGCTATTCTAAGCATTATAGCTGACACTTCTTTGTCATGAACATGTGTTAAGATCACATTGGGATGTTCAGTATTTGAGGGGAGGAAAAAAGTAGAGACCCCCACTCACATCTGGATATTGTGAAGTGCTCAGTTCCAAGTTGATGCTAATTTGTTATTATAAATATTTGGGTTTGAAAATCCTTCTCATAAAATATAACAGGTCTGAATGAAGATATTCAGTGCAAATGTCCTTTGTTACCCTGGGATGTTTCAGTGTTCATTTCTGGTACTGTTTTGAGCATCAGAGAGTTCTCTCCCTATTTAGTTCTGCCTGTATGGATGGGTGCTTCTTAGATTTCATGTAAATTCCCCTAAACACTGTACATCATGCTGCTTCTTTTTATGGAAATGATGATAATTTCAGATGGTTATGGCTCAGAAGCATGATTGTTTCACTGGTATTTTTTGGAGGCAAACGTGTACTTACGGATATGCCAAACACAACAGCAATGATCTCTTTTGCCTGTAATTATTTACACGTTGTTTTGTCCACAATATAAGAAGCTCTTAGTTCTGTGTACACTAACAGCTGTCATTTGACTTCTCTCAGATTTTGAACAACAGCTTTCCTGCCATTCCATAGAGGGATCAATGCTTCCATATGGGACAGCATGTTTTTAAAAGAAATGTAATTCATTTGCAAAAGGCTTCAAAGAGGCTTCAGCTTCCACTAAAGATAGAAACTATGCTAAACTAAAAGGAAATTCTTGATTTTCTTTTTGTATTATCTTTTATTACATGAAATATAACTTGACTATACAATACTAGGCAGGATTTTTGTTGAAATAAGAGATGTATTTTGACCTATTAGTATCCTGGTTTTTGTTTAAATCTGTGTTACAATTATGTTTGTGGTTTGAGTAAATGTATTGTACCAACAATATTAGTAACATTTTTGATCATTTCATCTTGCTTTTAATCTATGATAATACTCACAATCTTTATAAATGTCTGAGTGTTCTCAAAAAGAGATGGAAAAGTAGAAGAACAAATCATCCAGTGATATAAAACGTTAGTGGCAGAGTCTGAATGAACTCTCAGCCCATTAACCACTTGTTGGGGCTCAGGAACTCTCTGTGAGCCCCATGGACTAAGGAGTCCATTAAATAAACCCCACTGCTCCCAGCAAGTAGAAATTGCTACACTGCTCCTTACCTGGGAGAAGAAGTCTTGCAGGCAAATATCCCTGCTGATTTTCTTCAAAATTAGAGAAGTGCAATGATAAAGAAAATGCAAAGAGATGCCAAAGAATGAAGTTGCCCTTGTTAAAGCAGAGGACTGGAGTGGAAAGACTTGGAAGTCTCTCTGGGGAAACTGCATTATAAATCCAGTGATTTCTGTTTAAAATTTGGAGTGGATTGCTGGAGAACTATTTAAGAGAAGGCAAAAGAAAATACCTTGGAAATAATCTTATAAATCTATCTTTATACTGGGAATTAGTGGCCAATGCAGAGACACAGATGCCATCATTTGGTTTGTATGTCAGTATAAATATAACACAGGCACCTTTTTTCTGCTGCTTTTATTCTATTTTATGCTTTTGAGGTTTCATCTCACACCTGCATATACTGAAATAGTCGTGGGTAGATTTTTAGATAACAATGCCTTTAAATCATTCCTGCCTTTTGAATCAGCTGGTTCTTGCTTTGCATCATGACAGTTCCACATTGTAGGAATTATCTGAAGACCTGTCTTATGAGCCACTGTTGATCTGTGTCTCAGAACTGACAAATGTTCAATTGAAAGTATTAGCAGCTGAAAGTTTTATATGAAAAACCCCTCAAGAACAGCCTAAGCGTTGTATGGATTTGGCCTCCCCTGGACAGGTGTTTTGCCACAATTCTTAAAGGTGTATTTTTCCTTTTGGGACTGTCAGTATTTCTACTTTCATGTTAACTTACAGTTTCTGAACGTGTGGAAAACTCAAATGCTTTCTCTAGGTCTTGATTAGTGAGATACTGATGTTGGCATTTAAACCATGCCTACTGATATGTGCACTTGCTGTTGAGCAAAGTGGCACCTGCCTAGTCAGACACTCAAGCAAAACTCACTCATGGTAGAAAAAAAAAGACACTTTTTCAGAAAAATTACTTTAGAAAATATTTAGGTCAGACAAATGGTCAGAAAACCCTTTTTATTTGTGGAAAGGGTTGAGTAAAATCAAGCTCTGGGAAGAGAATCCATTTGGATTTTGTCCAGTAGATAAACTGTTCAGGGTTAGGACTGACCTCTCCATACTCTCTCTCATACTACTCTTAAAGGAAAAGAAAGCAAACTAGTATTTTTTAATGTTTTTTTTTTTTTGGTGATATGGACATATTTACTGCAAGCAGTTTCAGGTTTCTGTTCAATTCTGTATAGACTCCCTGTACCTACTGTAATTGGCAGGCAGGTTTTGATATCCAACTATTTTCTGGCAAGTTTTCTTCCTTTGTCATGATAACACAAAGTGAGCTATGCTAATTCCCAGTTACACATGCTAGTTTGCATACCATTTACTAGTGGCGTTTTTTTCTTTTTTCAGATGGAATTTAACATCAAGCCTTTATCCTAATTTCTAGCATAAAACCTTTTTTTTTCCACAGCAAAGTCAGTAGGGAGCTTCAGTTAATGGCATACTACAGTACATAATTATTAGTTTTATTTGCTAAGTTAGAAGGCAGATTTTATGAGGTGTTTAGACTATATTTAACCTGCAAAAATAATATCCTGTAAACTCATGAAAAGTAGCAAGGCCATTAATTTCAAGTTTTGGAGCCTTCTAGTTTAGTAAGCACAAACAGGTTTGTCACTTTGAATTAATTCATGCCAGTATTGGAACTGTTTTTAATTGGATGTACAATTAAGAAGTAGTCGTTTAGTCTTTAGCATTTGATTTTGTTTGTGTCTCTGTAATCTGTGTCATTTGCTGCACATATATACATATATATATATATATGTATATTTATATCTATCTGTCTATCTATCTGTCTATCTATCCAATTTCAGACCGAAATACAGAAATCTGAGGTAAATAGTCTGAGAACATTGGAAATATCATTCCTTTAAGGAATAATTCAATAAAATTTACAGGGAAATGAAAAAGAGACAGTAGGCTATTTTGCAATGTAATAAATGCACAGTAGTAAAAGGAAGTCTTTATAATGAAACAGGTACATCCTAGAATCAAAGATTAGTTTGGGTTGTAAAGGACCTTAAAGATCATCTCATTCCAACCACTCTGCCATGGGCAGGGACACTTTCCACTATCCCACGTGGCTCCAAGCCCCGTCAGGGTTCTGAGAACTTCCAGGGATGGGGCAGCCACAGCTGCTCTGGGCACCCTGTGCCAGGACCTCTCCAGTCTGTGAGGGAAGAATCCAAGAATTCCCCAATCTAAACCTGCACTCTTTCAGTTTAAAGAAAGTTCCACTTTCCTGTCACCCCATGACTGCCCAAAAGTCCCTCTCAGTCTCATAGCAGAGTCCCCCTATGGAGTCCCACTGTCTCCACAGCAGAGATGCTGCAGCCCCCTGAGCATCTTTGTGGCCTCCTCTGGACCTGCTCCAACAGGTCCATGTCCTTGTCTTTGTCACTTGGAGAAGAGTTACCAACAGTGCATTTCAGGAACCTGCTGGGTTGGTTATACCCCACTGTGCTGTCCCCCCAAGAGGTATTGGGGTGGCCAAAGTCACCCACAAGGACCAGGGCTTGTGGATGTGAGGACCCTGCCCTTGCTCTCCCAGCTGGGGTGGCCTGCTGCAGCCCCCGAGGTGACAATGATGTCACCTATCCCTGTCCCTTCTTTAATCCTGACCATAAGGTCAGGTCACCTCATCCACCCATCTACCCATCCATCTGTCCGTCCATCCATCCATCCATCCATCCATCCATCCATCCATCCATCCATCCATCCATCCATCCATCCATCCTCCATGCATTCCAGCTGGTCCCTGACACAGAGGGCCACCCCTCCTGTTCTCCCCTGCCTCTGAGTACAAACGTGGTGGGGTAAAATTAATTTGTGCTTGTGCTCAATACAGATTAACCCACTGATGTTTTGAGGGTTCCCAGGATGTGTAATTCATCCTGTTATAGATAAACTGGGCATCTGAGATATTGGCAGAGGGCAAAGGTGGAGCTAAGAGTTACAAACAGGACTCTAATTTGGTTTAAAATTACCATTAGGAAATAAACAAACCAAACTTCTAAAACATCTTTTAAAGTTGCTAGAAGATACCTTTTTTTTTTTTTTCAGTTTACAAATGCTAACTATAATTTAAAATTTACTTTAAAATCCAATTTATATTGAGATTTCTTGCCAGGGATGTGATAGCAAACAGACTGGTGTTCCTTCCTTCTCGAATAGCCTCTCTGTGCTTAGCTGATGTATTATTTTAGTGATTTTTATTTAAGCAGTTGGAAAAAAAATCTGTCATAGGTAAGGCAATCTTTGACAGCATAACAGCTTGTGTGGGCTTGATTGCTAGTTGGCAAACTGGCAGGAAATAAAGGGTCACAATGAGTAGAAACAGACTCAGGTGAGGTTAGAAGGGGAACACGTTTGGAATTACAAACAGCATCAGGAGCAGGGTGTGTGGAATCCAAATAGGTGGTGGAAAACAGCCTGTGCAGGGTAAGGTTGTCAGTAAGGCTGTGGAAAAAGGGGATAATGGGCATGAAGAGAGCCCAGTGTCTGCTGCTGTTAAGGCAGGAGCAGTGTTCTGAAGACACAGGAACGTGTTTGTGGAGCTGAGCAGAGCACACATAACAACATGTGCTCACTTTGAAGATAAAAACACAGTGTGTGGCAGGAGCAAGAGCTAACAAGGTCCCACGATGTGTAAACAGAGGGATTAGGTGTAAATCAAGAGAGATAATGTTGCTCTGCTGTAAAGCCCCAGTAAGACTGCAAGTGCAATATTGTGTCCCATGCTGGACTGGCAGATGAAAAATAAAAACAAACCTAAACAGGCTATTTTGATTCCTGGAAGGTAGGAAGAGGGAAAAAGCTTATTTTAGGATTAGAGTGTTTGTCTTATGAGGGAGGATCCTTACAAGACGTGGAGTGCAAGAGGAGTTGACTGCAGTGGGTGAGTGCTTCCAGAGCCCTGCTGCCTCCTGGGAGGGAGCAACGTGAAAAATGCAGCAGAGCTGTGGAGTGAGCAGCTGGGATGGCCTTGGGTCCATTGTAAATTCATGATGTGCATTAAAAGGGAGTTTTCAGGACACCAAGGATGCACTTTTATTAATATCAGCTGAAGTGGCTGTAGCAGGCAGTGCTGCCATTCAAAGGCAAAAATAACATATTGCTGTTGATTCCAGTAAGCTTTCTGCTGGCCCTCTAATTGAGAAATTTGGCTGAATAAAGACCAATAACAAAACTATTGATTGACTTTATTCTCTTTGAAGGGTCACATTTTCATCCAAAATATGTTACAGGATATGACCTTTGCAAAGCAGGATTCTTTGTTAAAAATGTCCTGGTAGCATTCATGGGTTGACACAAAGGTAACAAAGATGCTTGACTGCTGTGATGGCAGATACTCTCTTTGTATGTGCCTGTCACCAGAGCACTGCTTAATACAAAGAAGGAAAGAAAAGATCATAGAGAAGAGAAAGAGTGCAGTAATTTATGGTAACCTGCCCAATAATATAAAATTATTTTAAAAACCTGGCAGGACATTGGGCTGGTTGTGTGAGCAGTGCACAGGTGCATCTTTTTGCAGAGGGAACAACCAGCACAGCTTTTGGCATCTTTTTTCTGTTCTAAACAGCCCAAAGAAGTCAGGTGAGGTGCAAGCTGCTGGCAGTGATTATTGCTTGGAAACTTGGTGGTTTTGTCTTTTGACACTAAAACTTTTGCTTTAATAGTAATGGTTCAACATTACCACTGTTAGTGCAGCAGTTCTCTCTTGAATCTTCACTATTGAAATCTTATCTACTTATTTTTATAGCTGACAGCACAAGAACACTGATAGTTAATGTTCTAAACTAAAAAGAGCTCCTTTTTTAGTTTTCTGAAGTGTGGAGATGATTTTAGATGCAGGAAAATAATTTTGGTTTATTTTGTTTTGTTTTGTAAGTCAGTGTTGGCTAATGTTCAGGAGCACAGTGTTCCTGGGTCGTGTTTGGGAAAAACACAAGGCTGCTAGCCAAGTTATGGTGTTCCTGTCACTAGAAAGCAAGCACAGGCTATGAAATGTGAATGTAGATTTTTTAAAATTTTATTTTAAGTTGTGGAATAGGTGAAGTTGGTTCCAAATTTACTCGCAGAAGATTTTTATCTAGTTTCTCTCAGTGTATGGTACTCAATATGGCCAACATTTTTTGGCCAGGAAATTTTGGTGTTGTTTGTAATTTTTTGTGGCATGGGGCTGTGGTAAGGAAGAGCTTTGCTCTTAAAGTCTCAGTATAATAAATAGCCAAACACTAAATCCTGTAGTTTTCCTGTCTAAAAGGTACTAATTCTTTGTTTCCTGAAATTTTACTAAACAAAAATGATACTTGTACTTGTTGTGAAAAAACCCAAAAGAGCAAGGTATTGTTATTATGGTTCTATAATGCCAGTGTTTTTCAAACAACAGAGAATATATTGTTTCCAATATTTATCTAAAATGAACTTGTTGTGTTTATTTTAGATGAACTTGCAAATTCATCAGAAAACAGATTATCCTTGGAAGATCTCTTCAGAAAAGAGTTCGTAGTTCATAATCCAGAAGCCAAATGGATTAATGGTAAGTTCATAAACTCTCACTTAATTTGAAACTAGGTAAAAATTTTAAGTCCTGAATGATATTATCCAGTCACTGAGGAAAAAAAAAATAAAATCGGTTAAAATTTCAAACCCTCTTGAAATTGGCCAGTGTCCCAGTTTTCCTTCTTACTCTGAATCACGTCTCTTGCATTAATTTTTGAAGTGGCATTCTAATTTTAAAGCTCTGTCTAGTAGAAACCCATTAAAATGATCTGTTCATGCTCCTGACTCAGTTGGAATCAGTGATGAAGAATTGTGTTTAACAACTGGATCTTGTTTGTGGATTCACAGGAAAATCAACTCTATTAATGTCTGAACTTTGGGGTTTGGGAACTTTCAACTTCCCTTGCATTTGGAAAAGACTTGCATATTTCAATATAATTGTACAGTCATTTATACTTTTACAATATACTTGTACATAATTTTCTGATGACTACAAATTGTATTTAGTATTCTGATTTACTAAATGAACTGCTTTACTTAGCAGGGAGTTTTGTGATTGAATTATTGCTTTGTGATAAATTCTGAAGAATGAAGTGGCTATAATAAACATAAGTGCATTTAAAAGCAAAAGCATAAAAAGGAGAAAAGTATGGTCAATCTTTTTTTTCCCCAGCACCTGCTCTGGTGTTTTTTGTTAGCCATTAGTTCAGGGCTAGGAGAAGGGACACTCAGTTTAGTTTCCTCTCACCTCTGCTGAGTTGCCCTTAGTTTCTTCTTTGGACTGGTTTCTGTCTACAGTCAGTGCAAAAAAAAAGTGATACTGGGTAAAGCTGGAACAGTTCTATTGCCAGGAGGAGCAGTTTCTTGTGTTTTTGCTAATGAAATCATAAAAGCAGGTTTTCAATTTGCTTTTCTCTGTTAAATTCACAAAACAACTGCTTATGACCCCACCCTATCTGAAAAACACTGGTCCTAATTATCAAATAAAGTTATCCCAGACGCAGTATTGTAAACTAAAGGGGTCACTAAAAGCAGGGAAGTACACAGTGGAAGAACATCCTTATGCTGGTTCTATCCATTCCTCTTGTTACTTAAAAAATCCATGAGTGTATTCTCCTAAGAACTCTAGTAGTTCCTCATAACATGTTCATAATATTCTATGCATAAAAGTAGTACTAATTTCAAAACCCAGGACAATAAAACTAAAAGGCTGTGGATGGAGCTACATTAAATATTGGTGAAGCTATAAAACATGTAGTTAATTGTATTTCTTAACTCTCTTCTACAGCCTGTAATAACAGCAAAGCTTCTTTTATGAGTTTTCCAGATGTGGTAAAAAAGAAATGCAGAATTTGATGCTAAACTCTTGCTTGGATACAGGTTTTTCCTGTGGTCTTCAAAATCCATCTTTAAAAGCTCCTGCAGTGAAATAGAATGTTATTAGCATCATGCAAAAATATAATTTGCATTAGTGTCGTGCAAAAAATTATTGTAAACAATCCAGTGTAAAAGGTATGAGATTGTATTTATGAGATTGCACAGGTATAAACTTTTCCATCTCTTGAAAATAATATTAGAAATGCTATTTATTAGAGAAAGACCCTGTGTTTTATTAACAGTACACTGGTACTAATATCCAGTCTTCCTACAATGATGGTTTTCTGAGTCAGTGTGGAAACTTCTAAGTTTTTACTTTAAACTCAGATGTTTTCCTGAATTTATTGGCCAAAGAAACAGTGAAGTCCAATAGTACAAAAAAAACAGGAAAAAAGAACATTTTGTTTATTAGAGTATGTGTGTGTGTATGAGAAGTAAAGAAAAAGTGGGAGTAATTAAGGATTTATAAATTTTTTAGTATTTTTGATAAACACAGAAAAAATATGTATAGGTTTTGGGAATTTTTTTTAATAGCCAGTATAGTTAATGATATCCAATTTATTGGGCAATAAAAAAACCTAAGGAGTAGTCTTGCAAAGCAGCATTTCTGCTTCCTGCTTCTATTTTTGTTTTTTAAGACTTTATTTCCTGGCACTGTGGCATTGCAGTGATGGCATTATATGCATGGAAAATGAAATATATAAGTTCAGATTCATTACTGTGGAGCTGGAGGGGAGCATTTGGCACTTTCTTTGGATATTGGCAGGATAAGTGAACTCTGCACAGGATGATTTTAGCAGAAAATAAATAGCTACTTACTACCTTTTGCTCTTCTTGGAATGGGATAATTTGTATCCACCTGAAAGTTTTATCATCTTTCCCTCCTGGGAAGGGGTGGGGATAGAGATTGAAATAGTGGCTCCTGCTGTAAGCAGTGTCTTCAGGGTCTGGATCATGTTTTGTAGAAAAACAAAAAGAAAGATTTAAGGATTTCAAGTGGTGGATGAATCACTGTGTCCTTAGGTAAGGCCTGGTATTTAACTGCTGCCCTTTAATGAAACTTTCCCTACTGATCTTTGCATTTCTCTGACATTATCTTCCAATCTTGCATTATTTCTTCCTTGTTTGAAAGCTCTCTCACTACAAACTCCATCCCCATGCAGCTATTTCTAGACTGCTCTTTAATAAGAGCAGCCCTTAAATGCAGATTTTTTTTACAGTCCATTTCCTTTCCTGCTTGAAACTGAGTCCACAATTTTATGGGCTTGCCACCAAAGTTAATAATTATGCAAATGTCTAAAGTTGGAGAGGAGATGTTGGTCTTTATCTGAGATAATCAGATGTTGCTGAGGAAATAAAAGAAACACTTTGAGCTAGTCTTAAAAGTGACAAAATATATTCCCATTTTATATAGTATGTGAAGATGTACCTGTGCAGATATCCAGATTTCTTCTTCATTTTTTTTTTCTTTCTATTTTGGTTTATTTCAAAGGCAATATATATATTTTTTTTAACATGACTTTGATTTTTTTTTCTCTTTGAAAGAATTTATATAGAAAGAATAAGAAAATAGGGATGATAGCCAGTAATTTTGTTGTAAATGACTTAGTAGGGCACTAAACTTTGTTAGTTTTAAATCTGATTACTTTGGCTGTAAAAGGACATGGTGGAGAGTGCACACAACCATTAACCAGTCCAATCCCTGCTAGCTGGAAAAATGTTTAATTTCAGAAGGCATTCCAGTTGTCTGGTTTGTTTTGGAGACCTTGAATGAGAGTACATCTCCCTCTAGCATTATTGATCTTCAGGTTTTCTAATAGGAAATAAGAATTTAAAATGCTGCCAGTGAATAATGAATGTGAATGTGTCAGGTTGAAACTGACAGCTGGGGCAGAGTGAAGAATTTTTTCAGGATATTTTCCCAATTTCTCTCAAGTTACTTAGAAATGTGTGTGCTGCCCTTAGGGAAATATTGAGGACTCAACAGATTTGCATTCTTTTACTGAGGTCTGTACTTACATCTCCTGTTCCAGGGACTATAGCTGTAAATGACAATAAAATTCAGAATATTTTTGTGTATTTCTCTGTGAATATATGAATCTCTTGCATTTTTTTCTGTCCAGACATTCTTTGCCAATCTTTGCTGGACATGATGGAGTGAACTGGCTCCTTGGTGGCAGTGGCAGATGGGTGCATAGCCAGCACAATGACAGGATTTTTCATATATTTTAAATCACCTGAGCCTGTATGTGTGGTTTTTGTGTGTGTGTGTGTGTGTGTGTGTGTGTGTGTTTTTTCTCTTATTGTAAACCCCTGTTTTGGAATTAGGTTTATCACTTTTTCCACCATAAAATCCAGGGTTGTGCCAAGCAGGCACACCCCGTTCAGATTTAATTTTCAAAGCAAATAATTTTTCAATACACATGTATATTTTCAAGGCAAAGATTCTTCATCTTTTTTGTTTGTTTGTTTCTTCTCCTTTTACAGTTTTAATCTGTTTCTTTGGACATTATAATAAACCATTCCATCCAATTCAGAAATATTTTCACTCCAGGTGTTTTTTTTAACTCAAGCCTTTGCATTAACTTTATTTACTTGGTGGGGTTTTTTTGTGTTTTATGGTGTTTCCAGATTTCCTGTATTAGCCTCAGCAGAAGCTGTCATTTGCTAATTATTTGCTAGTTCTTATATGGGCATCTTTATTTTCATGCAGTGAGGAGAAAAGAGAGCAGGTGATGACACCCCTTTTGAACATCAGAGAAAACATGGGATTGGTTTACGGAGGAAATCCTTCTGCTCCTCACATTTATTTTGAAAACATTTATTTTGTTTAGTAGTCTCTCCAAAAAAAAAGGAAAAAAAATTTGAAGCATTCCTACTTTACAGTTGATGAGTGGTTTCACTGTCATGTTTTGTAGACTGTGTATTACAGTTTACATGGAAAGATAGTACCTGGCTGAAGAAATATTACTTCAGCTTCTCATAACATGTTTTCTTTCCTTAAAGAGCAACTGAGAGAGTGTCTGTCCATAATTTTACCTGTGGCTGTCCCTGGCACGTTTCTCATGCTGTACACTGCCTTTGTCACCTGGGGAGTGAAATGTGCAGGCAGTGGCCGGTGCTGGAGCTGCTGCTTCCCTTGGGTCCCTCTTGCCTCTTGTCTATCCTGAAAAATGAAATAAACAGTGGGCCTGGGAAACCTGCCTTGAAGGTGGTTGAAACTGCTTTTAAATGATTTATGATAGAAATGGAAGTGGTTTGGGAAGTACAGCGCACAGATTTCACAGTAGCAGATATGCCAAGTTTGTGCAGTAAAAATATGGTTTAAAACATTTGGCATTTCTTAAAAGAAGCTTTTCCTGTGTGTGAGGTAAACACGAGCTTGTTTTAACAGAGCTGAGTGTGTTGTGATGTTTGTCAGTGGATATGGGTCAATGCAAGAAATAATCCAGCACTGAGCAGTAACAGAAGAGATTCTGCTCCAGAAATTGAATTGAAGAAATAAAGAAGCACCTCTTTAAGAATTACACATTTATGTGTGTTGGTGTTACCCCTGCAATCAGGGATGGATATTAAGAGTGAAAATATGTTATTTTATTCTCTAAGTGAGATGAGAGTAGGAAGTGGCCAACCTGGAGTGCAGCCATAGTGCAGGAGAGC